AAGTCACAACATTAGGAAATTGCTGCGGTATTTTGGTGCAGAAGGTAATATAGAAAAAAAAAAGAATTACATGACAGAGTACATGTAATTCTGTCATGTAACTCTGTACATAAATAACAGAGTTTTTTAAATTACCCTTTTAAGGTTATTCCATAATTTAACACCATTTACAGACATATTCCACTCCTTAATTTTAGTTCTAAATCTAGGTTTTGTAAACACATCAGTTTCTTTCAGCAAGTAATTACTAGTTCTCTTTTCAAATATCCCCTGAATGTTTGTTGGCAGAGTACCTAAATTGTCTTTATACATGGTTTGCATGATTTTCCAGTCTTTTAAATCATGAAATTTCAGTAATTTATATTTAATAAACAATGGGTTTGATGGATCTCTACAGCCACTTTAATTGATGATTCTCAGAGCTATTTTCTGTAAAATAAATAAGGGTTGTGTATAGTTGTTGTATGTTGCTCCCCAGATTTCTACACAATAAGTCAAGTATGGAACAATCAGTGAATTGTACAATGCCAACAAACCAGAATTAGTCAGTAAAAACTTAACTCTATGTAATACTCCTAAGGATTTGGCAATTTTACCTTTTATGTATCTAATATGGGATTTCCATGACTGGTCTTCATCTATAAGAACTCCCAAGAAATTTAGTTTCTTTTACTCTTTGAATTGCAGTCCCATCTATTTCCAATGACACATCACTGTTCTTTTTATCATTAAATAGTATAAAATTTGTTTTATTAAGATTCAGTGTCAATCTATTTATATCAAACCAGAGTTTAATTTTAATCAGTTAATCATTTATCACTTTAGTCACCTCCTCAATATTTGATCCTGAGTAAAACAGTGTTGTATCATCTGCAAATAGAATGGCACCGAGTGTCTTAGATACATTTACCAAGTCGTTAATAAACAAAATGAACAGTTTTGGTCTGAGCACCGACCCTTGTGGCACTCTACAATTAATTTCACATAGTTTTGATTTATGGTCCTTTTTCTGAACAAACTGTTTCCTTTTTTCTAAATAAGTTTTAACCCATTGATGAGCCACACCTCTTATTCCATACTGACTTAATTTTCGAAGTAACTTTGAGTGATCAATGACGTCAAAAGCTTTTTTCAAATCAGTGAAAACACTAACAAAGTCATTTTTATTGTCAATTGCTGTTGATATTTTATCTATTAATTCCATTATTGCCATTGCTGTGGAATGTTTTGTTCTAAACCCATATTGTTCATTGTGTAAAATATTATTTTTTTCGATGAATTTATCCAACCTTGATACAAATACTTTTTCCAATATTTTAGAAAACTGTGGAAGCAGTGACACCGGCCTGTAATTATTGAAACTATGTTTATCACCACTCTTGTACAAAGGAATGACTTTCGCTGTTTTCATTGCGTCAGGAGAATTTCCAGTAGAAAGTGATAAATTACAAATGTGAATGGTTCAATGACAGATTCTATGATGGTTTTAACAGTTATGCCCAGGTCCTGATAATCGGTTGATTGTTTGTTTCCACAGTTTTTTACAATGTTTCGTATATCTTCTTCTTTATCTACTTTGTCAACGACAATACTATTGACAGTATTGTGGTCAATTTATCTTCTATTATTGGTTTGTTCTCCATTAAACTCCTACCCACATTTACAAAAAAATCATTAAACTTATCAGTGATTTCTTTATCATCATAGATATGTTTTTTGTCCTTGACAAAGTGATTTGGAATACGGGATTTTGTTTTCTCTCTATTAGTCGCACTGTTTATTATTCCCCAAGTAGCTTTTGTGTTATTTTTATTCTGATTCAATAGATTACCATAATTATATATATTTGTTTGCTTCCTAATTATTGGTACCAATTGATTTTTATTTTTTTTACATCTATCTTCCCTTGTTTGCAATTTAAAAAAACTCAAATATAAATTATTCTTTTTTGCACACGCATTTGTTAATCCCTTAGTCATCCAAGGTTGATTTTCCCTTTCACCTGTAGATTTGATTAATTTGCAGTTATCATTATATGACTTCAACAGTATTTTCATGAAGGATCTGTATGCAGCGTTGACATCACTGACGTATACCTCCTTCGAATTGTGTTAAGATCTTTGTTTAATGCCTCCATAGCTTTAACTGAATTATCTCTTCTGTAGTTCATGGTGATGTTATGTTTTATGGAATGTTTGTGTTTGAAGACTGCGAAAACAGGTAGGTGCTCACTAATATCCGTTATTAATATCCCTGTTTTCCTGACATCATCCTTATTGTTAGTGAATATATTATCAATGATTGTTGCAGTCCGAGATGTAATTCTAGTTGGCTTGTTTATCAAGGGAAATCAACCTACACTATACAGTGAATCTGCACTTAACCCTAGAGCCCCAGCAAAGCATCATGGGCCACGAAGAAGAGAAAGAAAGCAGCTTTGGCAACACACATACCTAGCAGGAAGCAGGACTTCATGAGCACGTAGACACTTTCTGGTGGCCTAGCCTCCAAACTGGCCTACTCAGCGGTTAGCATTTTGGTTGTATTAATCACCCTGGCTCTCCATTGGGTGGTTTTATTGTTGGAGTGGTGCCAGTTTAAAAAGTGATCTGTCTGAAAACCCACTCTGGTACTTCTATCATCTGAAGTCACAGATAAACACCTTCTGGCTCAGTTTTTGCGAGCTCTTGAATATAAAATCCAACCATGGATGGATTTTATATTACATTTGCCAGAAATGCATTTTTGGCAAATAAACCCTTCTTTTGGAAGATGGAACAAATTCCTGTACCACTCGCAGCCAAAAATGCATTCTAGGCATTATACAACTCATTTTGCTTGTCAGCTGGCATTAGCTGCTGAACTCTCTCTGTGAAAATGGGTCTGGCACTTATTTCTGACGAGGTAACGATGAGAACTGAGGATGAAGTTTGGATTTTGTAGCTGGTGCCTCAGAAGTGGAGAAAAATAACAGGTTTTAGTGCTATACTCCATTTGCACAGACTGAATCAACATAATAACAGACTATCCAACATTCACGTTACCTTTTGGGATTCTCGCAGTAACGAGTTGTTTCATCAGTCTGTACAAGATCAGAAATGCTGATCGATGAAACTGTTTCCAGGTGTTGTCAGATACTGTCATCCAGATTTAAATATATAAATTAGTTATGAAATATTTTAAGAATCAAAACAAATTTTTGCGCTTACCTTTTGATAAACTTTAAGATAACCTTAAACTTTTAAATGTTTGTTGTTAATTGTTAGAATTAATATTATATGAATAATTTCTGAGCCATGGATGTTCAAAATGTACCAGTGAAATACATACATTTTTGTCTTACTCCGTTCTGGTGATCTGAATCTAGCAAAAACTCTTTAAACATTTAATCAAATTGATCAAAGCTTTAACATTAGCAGAACTGGATCTTTGTGGTGTATATATGACCTCCTTAGACTATCTAGTCAACAATATCAGAAAAATACTTCAAATCTGATGAAATGTCTCCAGAAACAAGATCAAATCATCAGTACAATGATCTCTCATTCAATGGCAATGACCCAATAAAATGTGGCCAATAAAAACAGTTTATTCGTGTCAGAAATAACATTTTTAAAGGTCCTTCTACACTCCCTGATCCTAACTGGACGGTTGGTCTGACCAACACAGTTTCAAAGTTTTAGTCTTTAATTGTCATCTCAGCATTCTCAGCACAATGTCATTCTGAGTGAGCATACTAAACATCCTCTGTTGAATGTTTAAGTGAGCCGTGATCCTGAACTTGGCCTTGGACTTCTCTCGTGTGCTCACTGGTTTTGAAGAGACCTCTTCCTTTGATAGTTGTTTATTCGGGTCAGACAGAGAGAGACACAAAGTAAGACAGGGATCCCACACTGCTGAAAAAGCCCAGATTGGCCTTGTCTGGCTCTCAGATGAGCTTTTCAAAACTCTTCTTTCACTCCTCTGCCTAAGACATGTTTTCTTCTCCGTCTCTAATCCGTCTTTCTGCTCATTTATGGGTGAACAGCCCAGTGTGAAAGCGAGGGAAAAGTGCTTTTGTGTTTTGGATGGGTAACTCTCGCCCTTTAGAAGTACAAACAGGGAAAAGCTGCTTTTACCCCTATGGAGTTTTCTGCCACTTTATTAACACCGAACAGACAAGTGCACCATTGCTCCTCTGTCACTGTTTTGTCCATGTTTCATCCCATGAGCCAGACATCCCAGCAATTAAAGTGAAAGCTGGGAATTAATGAGCCTGCTGAGGGTTAGACAGGCCATTGCTGTATTGGTAATTAAACAGGCCCTTTCTCCCCCCCGCCCCTCTGCACTGCTATTGAGGTGTTTATTCTCCGTAGGAATCCACCTCTGTTCCACACACATGCTGAAAAACAGAAAAGCAGAAGTATTGTTTGGATAACTGGAAGTGCGGTGGTTCACAGACCTATGAGTTTCCGCACCCAGTGGTTTGAGGTGAGAGGGAGCAGCTGAAAGGAAAAGCGGAGGAAATGTGGAAGTAGAAAACATAACAAACAAGTATAATGTCTGGACAGAGAGCAGGGGAGTATGGGAACAGGGCTGGAAAGAGTGTGATGAGGTGTGTGAGAGTAGAGTGTGTTGCTAAACACGAGCAATGTCGAGGGGTTTCGGAAACTTTTCCGTTTGTGGAAAAAAGTTTACTATTTGTTCATTAGCCAGTCCGACATTTCCCATGAGAGTCCAGCCTTCGGTGCTTTTATTCATACGTGTGTCGCTCATCCCAGCGACGTTAGAAGTGTAGCACCTCTCACAGCTTTATAGTGAGGATTCAGGAAGCAGACGGGTCTTATCGGGGACAGACACACAAAGCCGTTCTGACTGTAGGGTGGCGAGGTATGCATAAGTGCATGTGTGGGGATGTGTGTGTGTATTTGGGAGTGGGGATGGGGGGTTTGGAGTCACTTCCTCCTATTCTTCTGCTGTTGAAGAGTTCCCATGAGCGCCCCTGCCAGGAGCTACAGTGTGGCCTCAGCAGGCCGGGCCAGCGCCAGTCTCGCCTGTATGACGCCACCACACACTCACACAGCTGATCTCGGGCGCTACTGCAGCTTCTGTTGTTTGGGACACGCAGTGGAGCGAGGGGGACCCTAGTGTGACCACACGGGACAAATGCAGGACGAAAGGAGGAGAAAGAAGACACAAGGAAGTGAAGAGTGGAGGATTTAAGCTAAGTTGTAGGACAGGGATTGAGACGTATGAGCTTGAAACTGGGATTGAAGAGGATTGGAGCTCGGATGAAGAATGAGCAACTGGAGGTCAACGGCAGAGACTTTTCGAGAAAACTGAATCGTTTTGGACAAAGTTGATAAAGAAGTCCAGGTTCAGTCTGGTTTTACCTGGAAGTCTCCTTTTTGCAGCTAACTGGACTGCGACCCGACTACTGCGCGTCCGAAGCTACCCCATACGTTTGTTTTGCACAGCTGTCAAGAGTTGAAATGATCCACAACACCCTGAAGTGCCCGCAGTCACCTGAACGCAACCACAGGAGGACCAACTCAGCTGCACAGAGAAAGCTGTGGCGATACTCGGGTTACGGAGGAGCAAGTCAGGTGGAAAGTCATCGCCGTAGCGTGTGCGTGCTAGCTGCAGACCTGAACGCTGGCGAGGGTGGAGGAAGAGAAGGAGGAGGTGGTGGTGTGATGCATACCATCCACGGTCTGTGTCACCTTTGCATTGGATGCAGGCTGCCTCAGGTGTGTTTGGAAAAAAAAGTGAGAAAACAACAATAAGAAAGAAGGTTGTTCATAAAAGCTTCATTAAATGTTTAGTATCAGTCTGTGTCACACCACTTCACACAGCCGTGCATGCTTTTATTCCCGTGTTGGAGAGAATGCACTTTTGATGGCCTTTCTGTGAGTAGATGCAGGGATCCTAAGGGCCGCGTTCTTCTAAAGGAGAGAAGAAGCGCTCTGAACTTTTAATTATTGATGCTTTACATTGTGGGTAAAGGATCTGATGGAGGGAGATGGGAGGAGTGGACACATATTTGAAAGCATTCTGGTTAGAGCACAAATGCACAAATAAAACAAATTTTAAAAAAAAAATCAAGCGATCTCTTTCATGCAACAACAATTCAGTCAGAAGTTGAGAACTATAGCATGAAAGTAATGAATACAGCTTGATTCACCATTCAGATGTATTTGTGTTTGCTGTTGTTGAGTACTCACTTTGATAACATTGTCTGATCAGGTATGGAGGTCACCATTTCGGCTGGTACGTTTCATTTAGTCTGTATTCAGCTGTCAGCAGTTAATGTTGCCCTTTCCTGCACTGCTGGAAAGCAGATAAGACATGTTCTGTAATGATCAAACAGAGACCTGCTCCTCCCTTCATACAGCTAGGGCCAAACATGATGATAAAAATATACAGTCTCTAATGCAAAAGCACAAGCACTTCAATTTTATACTCGGTTAGGTTTGAACATGACAAAGTAGCTCATGAATTTATCCTCATTTGTTCAATAATTCCGCTTTTATTTATTGCAATGATGTCTACTTCTCTGGATTATTAATTCCTGCAAAGTAAGAATTGGACTGCAAGCTGAAAGACGAGACATACTGAAGATCATGGACTCTGGTTCTGCTTTAATCTGTTCAAATATGTCAATCCTGTGGCTTCAAGGTGTGACGTCCTAAAATAAAAAGCAGCAGATGTACACTTTCTTCCTCCTTTTCCCATCACTGGTGTTTAGAGACAAAAGCCAGAGTTTTCTGTCTCTCAGGGGGAGAGGGCTTCCTTTTTAATCACACACTGTGTATGGGTAGATGATTAACAATGATACAACTAATTCAACACACTTCAGCGACGGAGTTTGTGCAAAACAACAGGTGATAGCCCAAAGTGCATTTGTAAAAGCAGATATCAGACACAGTCGTCTCTTTCTACTGGTTTTGTAAGATGAGTATGTTTAGTGAAGGACAGAAACAGAAACAGATGAAAGCGACTGAATCTCAGTGAAATATGTCAGAAGAATTGTATTAGGGGCTGCATGACATCAGAGGACACTAAGGGACCAAAATCAGAGTCGACATTTTAGGGTCATCTCATGCTGCAGGCCCAGATTCCTCCAAGCTGCTGTGCCTTGCTCAGGGGCAGACTTTAGCCACGTTCACACACAGGTTTTTGCTTCACTGTGGGAATAAACAGAGAAATCGGGAAGGTCGTGTTTTATGGGTCTGTGTCTAACAGCAGATGAGATGGAAAGTGAAATGTTTTGGATGGAGCATTGTTGACTTTGGCTCAGAAAGGTACGGGTTGTTTGGCAAGAGAAACAATGGGGGGAGATCAGGAGAGAGAGGGTGGCTTAATGATGGTCAGCTATAGAGTCTGATATGCTGGGCATTATTTTTCTGTTTGGGTAAATTAATTGTTGTTTATCCCAGAGTCAATTATTAAAATGAGTTCAGAGTCAAGATTAACCTTTTTTCTGGCCACAAGTTTACATCAAATATCCTTTAAGCCATTAAAGGGCAGCAGTAGCTCAGGAGGTAGAGCAGGTTGTCTAGTAATTGGAATGTTGTAGGTTTGATCCCAGCTCCGACCAGAGAATGCTGCTGTTAGGTTTAAGTGTCTTGCCCAAGGACATGACACTTAAACCTTTCTGCCTGCTGGTGGTGGTCGGAGGGGCCGGTGGTGCCAGTGTTTGACAGTTATGTCTCTGCCAGTGCGCCCCAGGGCAGCTGTGGCCACGTCCTAGCTCATCCTCACCAGCGTGTGAATGGGTGGATCACTGATTGTGTTGTAAAGCTCCTTGGGGGGAAGGGGGTTCTAGAACCCTAACAATTCCCTACACAAATACAGGCCATTTAAATGTTCTGTGACATATTTAAAGAGCAAGTCACCCCCTACCAGAGTATTACTCCACTCCCACTTCCTGTTTGAAAAATGCATCAAATGCTGTTGCCTAGCAGACCGAGAGGGCGGAGCCACTAACAAACACACACACACACACACACACACACACACACACAGACACACACACACACACACACACACACACACACACACACACACACACACACACACACACACGCTCACAACGACATTGTGACATCATATTGTACCTCTTAGCCAATAGAGATGGCAGATTTAAAATCAACTGCAGTGCAGTTTTTACCTGACAACAGCACAACACTGACAATTTTAGGCAGAAAATTTAAATTAGAACTAAAATCCACTAAAGTGCTAAACTATTGACTATATGTGTCTGCAGCACGGTTAGACACACATTTATATAGTTTTTCAGAAACAATTAGTTGATTTGGGGGGTGACTTGCTCTTTAAAGCTCTAAAAACTTTACTGTAGCTCAACCGATATCTGGTCCAACTATGGTGATATTTTTTGTCTCTGCAGCTCTTTTTTGTTCTTCCTTTACAGTAAAACTGCTTTCAAGACAAGTTTTACAGGAAGCAGAAAACAAAACCCATTTAATCATCTACTAGGAAGGAAGTTTATTGTTTTGGATTAGCAGACTTTGGTGGAGGAGAAGTTATAATCCTTATCCTGTTAAAACCTGACCGTGTTTGTGTTTTGCAGGTTACTATCCTTCGAGGAAAGGATGGATATGGATTCACCATCTGCTCTGACTCCCCTGTGAGGGTGCAGGCTGTTGATCCAGGTAAGTTTCACATGAACGTGTCAGTCTGAATAACACTAAAGTGTCCAAGGGTCATCTCTTGAAATTCAAAGTTTTCCTTATGAAAAATGTAAAATGTGAGAAGTTAACTTCAGTTGACATCTTCTTATTTTTGATGAAACATTTAGCCATATTTTAATAATCAAAGCATTTTTTTCCCTGTGAGAATAGCTTGACTTTTTCTTGCTTGAATGTTACTCATAACTGAGTTATTTTGATAATTGTTGCTTGTGGCCTGTATTTGATATAGCGCCTTCTAGAGTTATGGAACCCCTCAAGGCTCTTTACAACACAATCAGTCATTCACACATTCACACACACATTCACGCACTGGTGGGGATGAGCTACGGTGTAGCCACAGCTGCCCTGGGGCGCACTGACAGAGGCGAGGCTGCCGAGCACTGGTGCCACCAGTCCCTCCGACCATCACCAGCAGGCAACGTAGGTTACGTGTCTTGCCCAAGGACACAACGACAGCGACAGACTGAGCGGGGCTCGAACCTGCAACCTTCCGATTACGGGGCGAGCACTTAACTCCTGTGCCACCGTCGCCATATTTGACATTAATTCATTTAGGTTTAGTACTTCTCTTTTTTATTTCTGGTATTTTGTTTTTGGAGGGCATAGTAGATAAACAAGAAGTGAGGATAAAGGGGGAAGGTCATGCAAGTGACTAGCAAAATGGGAGCTAAGCTGTTTGATAACTCACAAGAGTTCACATCAATTAACCCCTTACATTTCCAGGTTTAATGAATGCAATGGGGTTTTGTCTCATGGGTGGGACGCTGAAATGTTAACTCATTCACTGCCAGCCCGTTTCTGATTGCTAAAGCCCTTCGCTGCCACCGTTTCTCACTGTTTTTACTGTTTTTTTTAAGAGTCACAGAACGTTGTGCGCTAGGATGATGTCGACACCAAAACAACCAAAACAAAGCGGAGACTCACCTCTTACATCAGGAAGAATCCATCTGCTGTCGAATTGTTATCGGCAGATGCTTTTCCGGTTCGTGCCTCACTTTTTTTTACAGGAACGGCCCAAAACGATCTCCTAACACATGGATGTTCTGCTTCCTGATCACATGACATGTGATGTGTGACGTATGCGGATGAAGATCGGCTTCAGAGCTGAGATGTTTGTTCTCTCAGTGCGGGGGCTCGTTCCGATGCCCAAACAGTAAAAAAAATGCAAATGACTACTTTTGTCGTCAATGGCAGTGAATGAGTTAAGGGGTTAAAGTTTCATCTATTTTATTGTTTAATTTAGGAATTGCCATTAGTCTAGTCACCAAGATTAAACCTGTCTTTGAAATAGACAACTTATTCCCTTCGTTCAAAGCTGCCTTTCTGTTTTTTATGTTCTTAAACAGATTGATCTGCTTTTAATCTAAAGAAAATGTTTGTTTTACCATTTATGTTCATGCTGCTACAGATCAGAGTAGCAGGGACATTACTCTGTCCTGTCTCTCTCAGGGGGTCCAGCAGACCAGGCGGGTCTGCAGCAGCTGGACACTCTCCTGCAGTTGAATGGTCAGCCAGTGGAGCAGTGGAAGTGTGTGGACCTGGCCCATGCTATAAGGTTAGGCCTAGAACCCACCTTGGACAAAGCCTTTACTCAGTCAACATTTCCTTCCTAAATTGGCTATGGTGTGGTGAAATGACAATAAGAAGGTTTACTTTAGAGTATTTGAACAGTAACAGGTAGCTGTTTAATGTTATGTGTCTTTCAGCCACATTTAGCAGAATATTATGATTTATTATATTTAACACAAATTCTCTCGTCTGTCTTTAGGAACAGTGCCAGTGAAATCACAGTAGTGGTGTGGCGCACCGGCCCCTCAGCTAAACCTAACTTTGAAGGCCTTATCCACCGGCCCTCATACAAACCCCCTGGAGCAAACTATGATGCACCGTCCCCCCCGACCCGCAGGCGAGCACCAGATGCTGGCACGAGTAAATCCCCCCCAGCCGTGCCGCCGCTCCCGGCACACCACCGCGCCACTGCGGCCCGCAGGCTTCTGGTGAATGGTTCTGAAACTGGAAACAACGTAGGGAGAGGGACCCTGGCATGGGGGGCACATGTTGGGTCAACCGAGGAGCTGGATGGAAGGCCGCGTCTCCTCCACCACCCTCCAACTGCCACGTTGAAAGGAACCAGAGTGAAGGCATCCAATGGGGACAATTACATCATCCTGGCACCCATCAACCCTGGAAGCCAGGTACCACAGACTGGTGGAGGGCTGCATCTTCATCATCTTCTCCGTCCTCCTCACCCTCATTATAGTCATTTGGTGGCTCAGCCTAGATATGTGTCCTTACCATACCTCCCTAGTTCTGATAGATAGATGGATTGTATATTTACTTTGTCTGTGTCCTTTGGATTAATGTTGCTCTGTTGATTTGTGCATGTTTTTATCACCTCATTACATTCAGCTCATTTATTAGTTTCATGTAGGAGTGAGTCTGTGGAGCTCAGGAAGCCTCTGACATCTGGTAATATTTGTGTCATTACATCCAACCAACCAGGCATGGTTTCACATCAGGAAACAGCGCTTATAAACCTCATTTATCAAACATATATATCTTACTGATACATACATGTTCCCATAAGTGCACATGCATAGTTTTTCCACAGAACTGTTGTTCTGGTATTTAAAAGTAAATCATCTAAACGATTTTTTCAAAGCCTTAGTTGGCAAAACCACATATTCTAGTAAAAACCATCTGGTTGCTTTTTTGTGTGATTATTTTATGCATCACATACTTATTCTTGCTTTGTATTTCAGGTAAAGGTTTTAATCAATAATCATTTAATAAAGAAAATCAATGAATGGAAAAGGCTGATCTGAGTTACTCAGCTAACACTTGTTAATAACACCAGACTAACGTGTGAATCAAGTGGAATCAAACATACTCAGGATCAGTTGGAGACCCCGCAGCAGCCCCTTCTATTAAGCAGAAGCAGCAGCTACATTTAAGGCGTCTAGAGAATAAATTGCATTAAACTGTCTTACTAACTCATCTTTTTATTGTCTGTCTTGTATGTGTGTTTGCATCTTGTGTGTGTGTTTGTGTGTCCCTCCTGCAGTGTTTTCCTCTGTGTGCTTTTCGTTCAGCAAAGGGACACAGACATCCCCGACAACTAGCCTGGCAAGCCAGACTAAATAAATGTTTGCAAGCAAGAATTTGGTCTAGTTCACTAGGCTACCCGACAACAACTGTGAGGTGTTCGAGACATAAGATCAGTTTGATGGTAGGAGCTGGAGGGTTCGCAGAGACAGGTGGCTGATAACAGGAAGAATATATATTTAGCCCAAGGAATAAAAGCCACGTACAATCATAGTAGGCAAACCTTCAAAAAGCTCAGTTCAGTTTCAAAAATAAAACTAGGTTGTGATTTGGGGAGTTTCACCTGGCTAAAAATAATAAAAGCCCTTTGGAAATAGGTCATGTTGGTGACATCTTACATAGAAAAATGTACCTACTTTACAAACAAAACACTTTCCTATCCCCAGAAGAAAGGGATGGTGTATTATTGATGCATTCATTTAAAATATTCAGTGTTTCCCAAGTCTTGGTCCAACTTCACATTAATTTGGCCAAAACAAAAAAGCGTTGACAGGTTTTTATCGTTCCTTCTTCAGCAGAACGTCTGATTTGTTACGACGGTTAGAAACAATCTGTTGCTGAGTCTAGTGTGAGGTCCAGCACACCAGATCTGTGAAGAATTATTCTGCAAATTGCAAATTAGAGACGATGGTGTGAACTTGGTACGTTTCAGTACAGAAATCCTAAACTTTTGTTGCTATACTTTTGATATAAACAAAAGCTTTTTCAGACAGTCTGTGTTCAGATATTTTGCACGTTATGTTATCTCAGAAAATACACTCGTAATTTTGTGTCTTGTTAAAAGTAACAAATGTAGTTTGGTTTTGCATCTCTTTCAATATGTTTTCCCACCATTCTGCTTTCAGATCCTGAGGCCTGTTTATCAGGACAACCAGGGTACATTAGGTAAGACAAATATGCTTTAGTAATTGTTTGCCTAAGGTTTGATCTCACACCTACTTTTAGAATAAAATAAAAACTTAAAATTCCAGTTTGCCCCTAATTAATTTAACCTAAAATGTTTGCGTTGTTAAATCTAATTTTGTATTTCTGTGCATTTCTCACTTCCCTCCTACATTTCTCATTAAAATGATTTTTTGAATTGTGTTGTTGTAACATGGTTATAAATGATAAATACCTTATTTGTTGTTGATAGATTTTTGTACAAGCACACTTTTTTCTAGAAACCCTTATACATTTTACAAAACATGTTTATGAGTCAATAAAATTAGATTTTGATCCACATTTACACATATTTTAAACACTTGTACATTTACAGCAACAAGAGATTCATACAGGTGCCTTAAGTAAAATTGGAATAGACTGAAGCTTGTTCTTATTCATTCTATTGCCTACCCCAGATTACTTGTAGGTATCAAGAATAACAAAATCAATGAAATACATTTAAATTAATTGATTTACAAATTACTGTAAGAAAAGATTAGCATAAAAGGTAGGGTTTTCTAAACTAATCAAAGCTAAGTTATGGATAGTATAACAAATGTATGCCTGAAAATTACACAAGTTGTTGCTATAAAACATGACAAAGCACATTCATTAAAACAATGTTATACAACAATCAGGATAAAAAAGTGAAACAAGTACAAAGGTAAAATAAATATTTATTTTGTTTATTGAACCTTTATTCAACCAGATGAGTCGATTGAGATCTCCTTCTCATTTACAACAACGATCTGGCCAAGAGGCAGCAGCAACAAACACATAGTTAGCTTTAAACCAAAGAACAACAGGTAAGATAAAAACAAACAACATCTAAATCAGATAAAATAGTTAGACATAAAGACAACAGACTGTTCTCATAGACAACATGTACAAAAAAACAATACAATGAAGAAACTAAAGAAAGACTATGAAATACACTAAATAGGCAAATAAGGATGTAAGAAAATATTGATACATTGAAATATTGCTATATTTTTTACTTGTTAGTATTCAGACAGTTTGTTAATAAATATAATGGATGTGATGATAATCTATAGTATAGTAAGCACTAGAGATAAAAGAAAATATTGATATACTAAAATATCATGACATTTTATGTTATGATACTGAATCTAATTTTAAAATCAATGTATTGTTTTATCAACACCGTCTCACACCCAAAGCGGCTAAAACTGGTGAAGGGTGACAAAGTGTTTCTTTCCGATGCGTTGGGAGCCCCAACCAAGCCCCCATAATTTTGGTCTGGTTATGAAGTAAAACAGGAAGTGACAAAAATTGCAGTTCCACCCTCATCCACTAGGGGCTGGTGTCAGAAGCGAGCAAATCCTCATTTACTCCCATGCTAAAAATACCAATTTCACAGCAGAAATAAACATGTTTACAGCCTGGTTCCAAAACATGTTTTAGGTTTAACAGATCTAGTTTACACTCCTGAAAGCTCTGAGGGAGGTGAATTTTTTTGCCACTCTTCTGTTTAAGTGTATTAAAAGCCTAAAATTCTGAATAATTAATGAGCATCAGACCCACGTGACCACAGAGCTAGCTCCGGGGAAAGGCCTCAGCCTGAGCCTCGACCTCGCCTTAAAACTGTTCCGCCATTTTCTGTCTTTCAACATAGACCATTAGTTGTGCCGTTTGTGCATTCTTTTTTGGATATTATTTGTGCAATTGTTGGACAAAATGACTTGCTGGCCTATTAATTGCACTAATAGAGCGTCCAAGGAGTCTCCACTTCATTTTCTTCCGTAAGTAAAGTTATATTCATGTATTTTAGGTCACTGATGCTATTGCGCTAGCTGAGCATAGATTTTAACATACTGTTTAACCATGAAATTTAAATTAAAAAGGGTAAACCCAGTGCATTTAGCATAACGCTGCATTTTTGAAAATGAATAGAAATATGACATGCTGGTGGAGCTGGGTTCCGACGATCCGTATGTCCCCTCCCGTCAGCAGCAGCTCGGCGCATCTCTGATTGCCGCGCCTGTCTGCTGCGCGGCTGCCAGCTTGTGGAGCCCTCGGATGGAAACCCGATTCTCCCCAGTGGTCAGCCCGGTGCATTTCTGACTCAGAAGCTCCGGTGTTGTGCACAGTTAGCTCCGGTTGTTGCTAGGTAGCTACCTCCATTAGCTTAGCTCCCACCCCCGCTTTAGCTTTGGGTTAGCTTGTAGCTACATCGCGTCAGTTCGACGGGTGTCGTCATTTGATCCCAGCCTTACAGCCCCACCCTCAGCTCCACCTCTTTTCCCTTTTATGGAATTGTCTGGGTGTGACGAGACGTGTGACATAATAAAAATGGCGGTGGTGGCCACCTCCCATTTCGGATTAAAAACTTATAATACAAGCCTATGGACAGGAATTGTCCAGTATATATATATATATATATATATATATATATATATATATATATATATATATATATATGTCGATGGCCCCAATGCGTCGGGAGGCGATGTGCTGTGCCAGAGTGTCTCTTTCCGACGCCCATGGTAAAATGGACATTTCACCGACATTTAACCTCTAACCTCGAGCGATTTAACCATCCCCTCACCCCCATCCTAACCGTAACCCAGTTTCTTGTTTGAAATTTCCCGTTAACCGTGTTTGAGAGGAACGATACAACAAGAAACAAAGTGGGTTAAGGTTAGGATGTATAATTAATGAGCATCCAACCCACGTGACCACAGAGCTAGCTCCGTGGAAAGGCCTTAGTAGAGCCTCGGCCTGGCTTGGAAATTGCTCCGGGATTTTGAGTCTCTGTGTGTGTGTATTCTTGTTTGGATATTATTTGTGCAATTGTTGGACAAAATGACTTGCTGTGGCATTAATTGCACTAATAGAGCGTCCAAGGAGTCTTCACTTCATTTTTTTTCGGTAAGTAAAATTATATTTATGTATTTTAGGTCACTGCCGAGCTGAGCTTAGATTTTAACATGTACTGTTTAACCATGACATTTAAATGTAATAGGGTGGAATATGGAAACCCATTGTCCATATATTTATGTCGAGGATTTTACCTCGGAAAAGAGACGCTCTGGCACAACGCATCGCCTCCCGACGCGTTGGGCTCCCAACGAATCGGAAATAAACCCTTGGTCACCCTCCATCAGTTTTAGCTGCTTTGGGTGTGAGAATGTGTTAGTTTTATGAAGAATTTATATGTGAACAATTACTGTATTTTGTGTGCGTGGTGCAATTCAATCTCTGAGTGCTAGGTGGCAGCAGTCTTTACTGCCTTTATTCGAATGTAACAACAAGATCTCACGAAAACACTAGATATGTCTTTGAATCGTCTGGCCTGACTTTTCCAATTAAATCTTAAAAACTGCAAATATCATCTGGCTTTTAGGGTCACAATATATCGTATTGTCTCCCCAGCACTGTGATTACTTATTGTATTGTACCACCACCAATTACTTGCAATTACAGACCCCTATAGGCAAATAATGTTATTAAATAATGAGACCGAATGTAAATAAACAATTTCTTTAAAGGTGCATTATGTAGAAAAGAAGTAAAAATGACATCCTGTGGTAAAATTTGGTTACTGCAACAACTTTAAACAATTCTGGTGCTTTCTGCCTGCCTTCATCAAATTACAATTGTCAGCGCTGCAGTATTAGCTCGCAGGAGACGCGGCAACCCTATACTCAGTGATGGTAAACAGTAGTTACATCCCTCCTTCCTTTGTCTTGAAAGGAAAAAAACAGCCAGCTGGATATGAAATATGTTTCAGTTTAACCTTCCTTCTAAAATGACATACATTAAAAACATTAGATGCTTTGGGGATTTTCTCAGTGTAAAATTCTCATTATTTTCTTACATAATGCGCCTTTATGTCATTACTTCTATGGAATCTTATGTGTAGACTAATTGATTTCTTCTTCAACGATAAGACATTGGAGGCTTCAGGATCCCGCCCATCCCCGCCTCCCCATCGGACTCTGATGTTGTATCTGTGCTGTTTGTGCTTCCATGTTTAAAGGAGTTTTTTTTTTGTATAATAGAGTTACTCCCCGCTGGGGCTAACTCTGCTATGCCTTCTTTTTTTACCTACCCCCACTTATCCTCATGTTACACCCTTTTCATCTATCTATTAAGGTAGCGCGAATGACCGCAGTCACCAATTCTTGTCATGTGTCTTACCCATGTATGTCTGATCTTTGAATTGTGTGCTGAAACTCAATTTCGTTTCTCTGTATGTCCTGCACATGTGGTAGAAATGACAATAAATGACTTTGAATCTTTGAATGAATCTTTGAAGACTTTAACTGAAGGAGCGTTGTGCAGTTTAGTTCCTTATCTGATTCGTTCCACATTCTATCTCCCTCAACCGAGAAGCAGATATGATGTAACATTGTTCTAGCTTTGTTGCATTTGAAATTTACAGTTTACTTAGAATACATTGGTTTTTGCTTGCAGAAATAGCTTTAGTAGCACTCAACAATCACCAAGAATCACCATGAACACCAAGAAATATAAAATTAATGGTAATGTAGAGGTTTAAAAAAACACTTTTTCATGAACTTTTGAGATAAAAAAATGTGTTGAAACACTTTTTAACTGATTCCAATGGGATTAGCTAATAGCTTGTCTGGTCAATTCAAATTAATCTTTGAGGTCATTCAACAAGCTGTCTACAGCAGGAAAAGAGTCTTTTCCATTTGAAAACGAGTTATTTCTTCAGGCTGAGTTTAAATGACATTTAAAATGCAGTGGCAGTAATTTGTGTCTTCCTTTTGTTTGTTTTACAGCTGCAGGTTACAGCAGGTTGTACCCAACGCAACAGACTTCTGGCCCGCCGTCTCAGAGCGGTGGCAGTGCTGGTGGTGGTGGTTCATCTGGGGGTGTCAGTGGTGGTGGTGGTAGCAGTGGAGGCTTCTCCAGCCGTACAGGATTCCTACGTCGATCTAACAACTCTAAGACATCTAAGGGGTCGTCCACTTCCGCCAATGCTGGTGTACCCAACTACCAACAGCACAATGCCAACTTTGCCAACTATCAGAACTGCACCATTGTCCGTTCACACACTCCACATGCCAATTATGGATATGTCAAAGTTGCACCCAAGATTCTCATCTTCCCCATATTTGTTCAGGTAAGGTGTTTGGACCTACAGCATATTGAATACATTTCATAAACTGTTATATTGTAGTAGTAATCTCATAACTTCACTTGTATTTTTTGTTTCTGATCTAGTCATAAATGCTTGTACTGAAATGCTCATGAACTGAATCTACACCTTAGTTTTTGACACAAATTAAACAAGAAATGGAAGATTTAGAAAGTTCTGAGTGACTGAATATCGGAGTAGAAGTAATACATATAGTGGGGCAGCCACCCAGTATTTGGCAGCTACCAAATCTGCTATTTATTCCACTTAAAAAATGAAAGAGGTTTGTAATTTTCATTTCAAAGTACACATCCACTGTGAGAGACAGCATGTAGAAAATTCAGGAAATCACATTGTAGGATTTTTGAAGAATTTATTTGTACAAGGATGGAAAAGCAAGTATTTGGTCAATAACAAAGTTCACCTTAATACTTTTTTATGTAACCTTGGTTGGCAATGACAGGTAAAAGTTTTCCTATTGGTCTCCACCAGTTTTGAACACGCTATAGCTGGTATTTTGGCCTATTCTTCTATGCTGGTCTTTTCCAGAGTGGTGATGTTTTGGGGCTCTCGCTGGCCAACACAGATTTTAAACTTCCTCCCCAAATTCGCTATTGGATTGAGGTCTGGAGACTGGCTGGGCCACTACAGAAACTAAATGCATTTTGTGTAGGCACTCCATTGTTGCCTGGGTGGTGTGTTTGGGATCGTCATGCTGGAAGATCCAGCCACATTTCATTTTCAGTGGTTTTCCGTTGTTAAATACAAGAGCGCATATTGAGCGGAGGACCCAGGGAAGTGTGGCGGTTTGGAGAGACCGCCAATAGATGATTGCGATGGTTGCTTTGCTGAAGTTTTTAGAAAAATAGGGGAGAACAACTTTATTTTTTTTAATCCCCACAATATCTGTAAAGCTATACTATGCTAGAATGTTGTTAAGAGACATGAACAAATGTTTTATGTTAATTAGTTTCCAAATTTGCTGTAACAGCTTTAATATTAATCTATTGTATCCGTTTTGCATAAAAACAGCCCCAAAGCATAATGTTTCCACCTCCATCCTTCCCAGTGGTTATGATATTCTTGGGATGTAACTCAGCATTCTTCCCCATCCAAACACAACGAGTGGCATTTATACCAAAGAGTTTTATTTTTGCCTCATCTGACCACATGACATTCTCCCAGCCCTCCTCTGGATCATCCAGATGGTCTCTGGCAAACTTTAGACGAGCCTGGAGATGTGCTGATTTTAGCAGAGGGACCTTTCGAGCACTGCAGGATTTTAATCCATGACATATGTAAAGAATGGGTTGTTTACATCTTACGTATGAACCATAAAATGTGAGATTCCATAGAAATATGAAATATCAATCTGATGGATCTTTGACTATTTTAACCAGAAGATCGGAACTTTTTATTGCAGGGATTAAGCGACACTTTGTATTAACTCCAAGGAAAGAGAGAGAGTCAGGTTCAAAATAGTTAAGACATTTATTTCTACACAATTTGAACCAGACTAACTTAAACACTCTGTGTACTCATGGAACTAAGGTGGAGTGAGACGTGAAATGAACGATGGTGTGTGTGTGTAATGTTATTCAGAACCAGCGGATCCGGAGAAACAGTTAGTTCTGAGTGAGAGTGAATGTTTCGCTTGAAACTTTAGTTGGAGATTTATAACACACATGAAACGCCATCTGTCGGTCTACGTACCCCAGGGGAAGCCTCCGTTAGATCCAGAATGCCGAGGTCCTCAAGGACCTTCCTTGGTACCGAAGCCAGTAGAAAAGCAGCGGTACCAACCAAACTAGTCTTGGAATGCTTCCAGGTCACGACAGGTTATCACTGGTGTCTCCGAGACCCTGAAGGGGTCGTGAGGTTCAGCTTTTATTCTGAATGAACTGTTGCAGTCAGTTGTAACTTGCAACGGATTTTATCCAGCTTGTCTGAGGTTCTTTATGGCTGAAGAGGAAGTCCAGATGGCCTGTCTGGGATTTCTCTAGAATGCTTTGAACTAAAGAAAAGGTGGCATGGAATAGTTTTTATAATTGTCATATTTTGGTTTACTGGCGAATCAGAATTTGACATGCAAAAGAGGTTTTATACAAACACCACAGAAAACAACGCCTCGCGTCAGAAACGAAGGTTCTGATTTGGTCAGACAAAAGGAAATGTGTCGTGTGGCTTTAGCATTACGTGTCATTAGTGTCTAGTGAAAATGTCCAAGATTATAATAACTTGTAAAATACTACTGATCACAGGATTATAATATCAAGTAATAACATTGTCATTTCACAGATTGATTGAACATTGGCCTCACATTGTTATTGGTAATAACAAAGTTGTTCGTTATGTGTTCATCAAAAGAGTTATTCGTCTTGACAGAGGTGAAGCAGTTCAGATGTGCAGAGTGCATGAAAGACCTTGGCCACTATCTCATGTATATTAGGCTGTCAGAGACTTTATGTCTCTGCTCGAGCAGACGCAGGAGATCATGACCTTTAGGTCAAAAACAGGACATTCATGACGCTACACAACGTAGTATGTAACTAGTAGTAACCTTTGATACTGTGGTCCCAGTTCTTTTCAGGTCATTGGCTAGTTCCCCTTGTATTGTTCTGGGCTCACCTTTCTCAAGATAATTTGAACCACATGAGGTGACATCTTGCATGGAGCCCCAGGTTGAGGGAGATTGTCAGCGATATTGTATTTCTTCCATTTTCTAATAATTGCTCCATCAGTTGATATCTTCTCCAGTTTTAATTAAATCTACTACTTAAATGATACAAAATCCTATAGAAAACACTAATTCTAGTTCATTGTGTAAAAATTACACAGACGTTTTGAATCAGTACTTTATCACACTGGTTTGGGCATCTGGTCAGGATGCCTCCTGGACGCCTCCCCAGGGAGGTGTTTCGGGCATGTCCTGCCGGCAGGAGGCCCCCGGGTCGACCCAGGACACGTTGGAGAGGTTACATCTCCAATCTGGTCCGGGAACGCCTTGGGGTCCTGCCGGAGGAGCTGGTGGAGAAGGCCGAGGAGAGGACGGTCTGGAGCTCCCTAGTTGGGATGCTGCCCCCGCGACCCGGATAAGCGTAGGAAGACGACGACGACTTTATCATACTCTGGACGTAACAGGAAGTCCCCTCCTCCCACGTAGTGGCACGACTTCACTTTCTGTGTCAGTGTTGGGCCTTTCTCAACATCACATCTCACTTTGCAGTAGCTTTTTGTCTCAGTGTTTTCCACTGTAAAAAAGATCTGTATTTTGTTGTTGGGATCAGGACTCAGAATGGATTTGGTAGTGTAAACATCTTACTGATCACTTACAAATAATTAAACCTGTTCCAGTGTTGATGGATAATGATAATGGAATAACCTTAAATATTTTCATAATGCCTGAGAATCAGAACTACTTGTAAAATGTGTTTATTTTTCTGTTTAGCCTCTTGACCTGTGCAGCCGAAATCTTATCATATCCGAGGAAATGATCCTGCACGAGAGCAAGCACCACTCTCTGAAGGTGAGACACATCAACGTATAAGAATGTTGTTCAGTGTGTTCATATTTAGCTCAGTATGTTACCATAACTGTAATGAATGAGTTCTCAGTCTTTAAAAGGAATCTCCGTCTGTGATCTGAAAATAATTCCTGCTTTCATTTTTTATCAAAAGTTTTCACATTTAGTTATTATATGAAGCTCATGTGAAAAGTAAACAACACCTTACAAATCCTTCTTATTTATCAAATTTGGCCACGGAGCCACATTAAATCATTAGGTTATGCATATAACCACTGTTCCCTGAAGGAGAGGAACGAGGTACAACGAAGGTACTATGGGACATCATGCCCTCGTGTGGCCTGGCTAAAGACACATTTAATCACGCCTGTAAGACAAATGAAAGTGACAAGGCCTCGCCCTCCACTTATAAGCTACCGTGTCACTGTCATTCCTCTGTTCGATAGCTGCTCTTCACCCAGCTGGGCTGCGAATGGGGCAGCCCTGCATTGTACCTCATTCCTCTCCTTCAGGGAACAGTGGTTATATGCATAACCTAACCTTCCCTTTCAGTCGATTCACTCGGTACAATGAAGGTACTATGGGACTTATCGAAACACCCCATGAGCAACTATCAAACCTGGCCTGAGATTGCAACCTAAGATGGCAAGTCAGATCCAGCAGAGAGAACCGCAGGGGCCACCGAAGGGGCCAAAACATCCAAGCGGTAAAACCTCACAAAGGTGTGGGGTGTAGCCCAGCTTGCAGCTGAGCAAATGTCACCAACTGAAACACCTTTAAACAGCGCCCAAGAAGCAGCCACACCTCTAGTAGAGTGTGCCTTGACCCCTAGGGGCACCTGGGAGCCAGTGATGCTGTAACACAGGGAAATGACCTCCACAATCCAATGAGAAAGTCTTTGCTTCGACAAAGCTTTACCCATGGAGGGTTTGGCAAAACACGCAAACAGTTGGTCTGTTTTTCTGATACTCTGAGTTCAATTTATATAAGCCTGCAGAGCACGAACCGGGCACAGACAATGCAGTCTCCTCTGCTCCTCAGAGGCAAAGGAAAGACTACTGAAGCCCGAAAGCTCTATGGTCAAGGAACCTTAGTTGAGCGGGATGACCTTAGGCAAATACGCAGCATTCGGATGTAGAGTGACCCTAGCTCCATCTGATGACATTTTCAGACAGGAAGGGTGAACTGAAAGAGCATGAAGGTCTCCCACCCTTTTAGCCGATACAAGGGCTAAGAGCAGAGCTGTCTTATAAGACAGAAGCTTCATACTGATCGATTCAGTAGGCTCAAATGGGGGACCACACAGAGCCTCCAGCACCAAAGCAAGGTCCCAAGAAGGGATAGACAATCTAATTACGGGTCTCAGTCTGCAAACCCCTTTCATGAACCGAACGGCTAAAGGGTGAGCGCTAGGAGAAACTCCATTAAAAGATTCATGGCAAACCGAAATGGCTGCCAGGTAGACCTTTAAAGTGGAGAATGACAAGCCCTTGTCCAGCAGATCCTGTAGAAATGACAGAATGTTCACAATGGAGCTCTGTGAGGGAACTGCTGACCTGCTCAGACACCACACTTCAAAAGCCTTCCACTTATAGGCATATAAACCCCTAGTGGAGCATGCTCTTGAGCTCTGAATAGTATTCACCACAGCCGGGGGAAGACCTTTAGCTAACAGGTTGGACCTTTCAGTAGGTAGGCCTGCAGCTCCCACAGATGCGGGCGAGGGTGCAGCACTTCCCCTTGTGCCTGTGACATAAGGTCCTGTCTGATGGGGAGCTTCCATAGGGGGGCTATCATCAGACTGATGATCTCCGGGTACCAAGACTTTGTGGGCCACTGAGGGGCCACCAAAATCAGAGATGTGCTCGACTTGCGCACTCTCTTCAGTACTGCTGGAATCAGTTCCACCGGCAGAAAAGCGTGGAGGAGAATGTTGGCCCAAGGGTGCGCCAGAGCATCCGATCCCATTGGAGTAGTCTGATCGATCAGGGAAAAGTACAGGGGACAGTGTGTGTTTGCGCTTGATGCAAACAGATCCACTACTGCCCTGCTGAACCTCAGCCAAATCTGGGACACCACCTCGGGGTGGGGCCTCCATTCCTTTGACAGAGGTCCGCCCCTGGAGAGCAAGTCTGCCCCGTGGATGAGGTACTCGGGGACATAAGCTGCTTTGAGAGACAGGAGATTCAGATTGCACCAGTGCAGCAATGTGTGGGTCAGATTCAGTGGAGGAAGAGAGCGTGTTCCTCCCTGTCTGTTTACATATGACACCACAGTTGTGTTGTCTGTGTGCACCAGCACATGTTGTCCTCTCAGGTGATGACTGAAGTGTTTCAGGGCCAGAAACACAGCTAACAGTTCCAGAAAGTTGATATGGAACCTTGACTGGGTCGAGGACCATACCCCCCTCACCGCTAAACCCCCACACAGAGCCCCCAGCCTCTGAGGGAAGCATCTGTGGTCACCACTATGCGTTCTGACACCCTCCCGATAGGGGAACCCTGGCAGAACAGCCCTGGTTCTCTCCATGGGAGGAGAGCTACCATGCAGGCTCTGGTGACCGTCAACCTCTGGCAGAGATGACTTGAAGGATGGAGATGATGAGAGCGGACCCAACGCTGGAAATGTCACATTTTTAACAGTCTGAGGCACCACTGCTATGGAGGAAGCCATCATCCCCAGCAGCTGTAGAGCTGCGCGGAGTGCCAGTCTGGCTCCCAGCTGAAAGCGCGCTAAGCAACTGTGTAGCAGTATTCTCTGGTCCGAGAGATGCGCTCTGCTTGACCAAGAGCAAATTTCCAGCCTGAGGAAGGAGAAACTCTGACTCGGAACTAGAGATCTCTTTCTGTAGTTCACAGAAAACCCCAGGGCTTGAACGTGGGAAAGTACCCGTGCAGTGTGAGCTTCTGCCTGTGTTCGGGAACTCGCTACTAGAGCCCAGTCATCTAGGTAAGCGAGGATCCGGATGCCCTCCTCCCTGAGGGGGGCTAGTGCGGCTTCCACACTTTTCGAACAGGTGCGGGGCGCTAAAGCTAACCCAAAAGGCAGAACCATGTACTCGTAGACCTTCCCTTCGAAAGCAAAGCGCAGGAACCGCCTGTGATTGGGATGGATTCCCACATGGAAATAAGCATCTGTGAGATTGATCATAGTAAACCAATCTCCGGGACTGACTGTATCCAGTAGCTGTTTGAGTGTTAGCATTTTGAACCTGTACGTGCGCAGATACTTGTTTAACACACGCAAATCCAAAATAGGGCGAAGTCCGCGCCCCTTTTCCGGGACAACAAAGTAGCCGCTGTACCAACCTTTGTTTGTGTCTGCGACAGGGACCGCTCGAATAGCTCCTTTCAACAATAGAGTCTGAATTTCCTCCCGTAACACGACCGCAGCGTCGGTATTTACACGTCTGCACAGCAGAGATAAATACGGGTGGTTTGACCAGGAACTGCAGTCGGTAAACCATGGCAACCGTGTGCTCGACCCAGGGGGACACTGTGCATGCTCGTCAGAGGTGAAGTTTCACCACGAGGCAACCGCTCAGCGCCCTGGTGGGGGAGCTGCTGCCCTTTGGCGGAACGGGAGGCTTTCTGAACATCATGTCTGCCACCGGAGGAAAACTGCTGTTCTCCAGCAGAGCGGGAGAACAGCAGCTTTTCCCGCTCCCACAGAGGTCGATTGCAGACAGGATTTCATGTGAAAATTGAGCTGTCGTTCACCAGCAGAGCGGGTTGACGCAGCTTTATGGGGCCAATTTGAGAAGCATTGTTGACACACATTGCATCCACACATTGTCGAGTGCAAATAGCAGTCTTTATTACATTTGTGTGCATGTTTATGTAAACAGTACAACTCTCGCCCCCTGGGGGCAGTAAACAAAGTCTTTTTGGACTGTGGGGTTGAACCATAGCTGAACTGGTCCGTTTCAACCATGGAAAACTGGGTTTTTGTAGCCCAACAGGGTCCAAAACCTGAACAATGTGGGTCCCGGGATCAGGACGACTAAGGTTTCTTCTTGCGGTTCACAGAGCGTTTCTGTGAGTCCCCAGGAGGGCCTTTACTCCAAGCGGAGTGGCAAGGAGGGAAAGACGGGGTCCAAGCTGGGACAGAGCCCTTCGCTGACACTGGAGGGGCTGTCCTCTGAGGTGGAGGAGAGGTCAGGTTCTTCCTGTCAGACCCAGGTGCCATGCGCCACCCTTCCCGCCTGGGGATGATGGAGCGTAGCGCCTCAGTCTATTTCCGCTGGGCCTCGAACTTCATCTGAATAGCGTCGAGGGGCTGACCAAACAGACCACTGGGTGAAACAGGCTCGTCCAGGTAGTTAGCCCTGTCCCTGTCGGGGACATTAGAAAGGGTCAGCCACAGGTGCCTCTGAGCCAATACAGTTGAGGCCAATACAGTTTCCCATATAAGGAACTTGATTAAAATGGGAATATGAAGGTAAAGTAGAAGCAGAGTGTGTACAATTCCCTGCTTTTTTTCTTGATTCACTCACTTTGCAAACTAGAAGTCCATTATTCTGTTGTACAAATAAAGAATTTGTGTAAAGGAGAATTATGGATGGAATGAAACTGAGGACATGTTTGACCATCTTTACTTATGTACGTATAAAGGTCACAATCGGAGTTTTTTTTAAGTGTCCAAACAAGTGAGTTATCTCACCATGAAACAACGATCTGGGTTATGTATATTCATCTGTGATTTTTGTTTTTATAGTATTTTAAATATTCTATAAACCATCAGCTGGAAGAATTTCTTGTTATTGTATCATTACAAGGAAGTCTAGTTGCCTTCATTTGAATCCACTTTGGAGTATCATTACAAGTTTAGGGAATATTGCGGAATTTTAAGGAGAAATTAATATCTTAGATAGAAAATTTTGTGTACTTGTGTTGTAAAATATGTGCCGCACACATATTTCTTTGTGAAAACCTTTTCTTTTGACTTGCACTGTCCTCAAACCTGCACACACACACACACACACACACACACACACACACACACACACACACACACACACACACACACACACACACACACTCACTCACTCACACACACACACACACACACACACACACACACACACACACACACACACACACACACACACACACACACACACACACACACACACACACACACACACACACACACACACACACACACACACACACGTTCATTCATACTTAACCACAACCAGGCTACAGCTACCCTCCCTGCTTTCTCAAAGGCAAAGGTCTCTGTGATTACAAGTATTTTCATCATTCACCCATTTGTAATTTTCTGGTGCTTGTTTATATTTTCTCTCCCTTAAACCTTTTCTAACCTCCCACAGTGGACACTCTGAGACAATAAAATTAGGATTAGCAAAGTGAAAAGCAGGAAATGGCAGAATGAGGCTGCAGAAATTAATCAGAAGTTATTCTTTGTTTAAATCATATTAGGCCAAAACTGTCAGGAAATGGCAAACTACCATGGTCTCAGATGACGCACTTCCATGTATTTGGACTGCAGATGTGTTAGTTTAAGGTGTGAACCACATTCAGTGCTTGTGATGCACAAAAATCATCACGTCCATCTCCCAGCTCACCACCGTCAACCATCTGCTGCCTTTCGCCCTTTTCTTTCAAACTTCCTGTTAATCAATTTTTAATCTCTCTCCCCCTCCTTTCTGTTTAGATCACAGCGTTTGTCTACAACGACTTGATGCTCATTACCAGAGAAAACGAGCCAGGCAGGTGCAATGTCCTCCAGAGCCCGCTGTACCTCCGACACCTGCGACTGCAGGACGGTATGTAGAACGTGTCGACATTAGGACACCATTTAAATAAGCACTCACTAAATATCTCTTAACTGTCACGGCTGTGTGTGAAACTCTGTTTGACCTTCTGCTTCTCTACACTAGATAAGAAAAGGAAACACAAACTGCACCAACAGAAATAAACACAGTAATCAGGATATTTAGGGAACCTTACCCAATTCCTGTTGCTTTGTCTCTTTTTTTTTAACCTTGGTATAAACGACCGTCTCCTGCAGCACGGAGTGAATAGCTTGGCCCCTCGGAGCTGCACAGTGCCCAAGAAAACCAAATAAATACAACATGCTGTAAACATCTTTGAGGAGGAGGAGGGCAGGGTGCAGATGCGTGATGGGCTAAAGGCCAGGAGTTCAGGAGTTTTGAACTTTGTGATGCATGAACGTGGACTGCAGGTTTAGGTGGGGGGTGAGTTGTTTAGAAGTAAATTTTCTGAGCTGATGTTCCTGTGAAGTGATTATTAGTTAGTAGATCAGTGATTGTTGATGTGACAAGCTCATTAGATTTTTTCCCCCACTTGTTGGCTTTACTTGTGGTTTTTGAGAACATCTCCTACGCAAGTTCCAGTATGACCTCAAACTGCCATTTAATCTACCCTAACCTATTCTGCTGCAGGTGGGATAACGCTGTCTGAAAGACTGGAACCTTGGTCTCACGCATGTGAAGTTCAGTCACAGTCGAGCACTAGATACATTAACAGGATATTTCAGAGACTTTGACATGTATTTCTGTGTAAAAGTTATAAATAATCTTACGCATTGTCTGACAAGACTAGTGCGCTAATATAGCTAGTCCGAGCACAGCCAAGATAAAAGTGTTGTGCTGCCATCTTAAAACTGCACTGGTCTTTAAAAATTCATTGAGGTTCGTGCAAACGTTTATTTTTAAATTTGGCATATCTGTGGTGATTTCTGAATGTAAATGTCTGCAGCAGCAGCAACGTGGTGTTTCAGGTGCATCCAGGGGTCAGGTCTGGCAGGATTTTGTGATATTTCTGCAGAAATAACAGCATTAATTAAAACTGATGGCAGTGTGACAATTTATAAAGAGAAGTTTCAGTTAACCTCTATGATGTTTTGGATGCTGCGCAGCTTTAAGATGGTAGGAATCCACACTGGTCTTGGCTTTTTTGGGATAAGCCATCAGTAGCGGCAGATGTTATTTTCCTTGCCCCAAACTGAGGCTGTTCGAATAGTTAAATAAAAATCTAAATTCAAATACTTTTAGTAATAGTTTTACTGTTTTTCCACAACCGGATGAAAATAAAATCATTGATTAGCATTTTGATGAAACGTTCCTGATTAGAAATCATGATTTTTGTTTTCTACATGTAACATATAAAGTTATATCTGGAGAGAGAGAGTAAAGGGTCATGCCCCATGACTAAAGAAGGTCAACTGCAATATGAAATATTGAATGGGTATATTGATTACAACTACGAAACAATGTTTACTCTGTAGCTAAATGGACCAGTGGTGAATAAAAACAAACAGTGAGCTTTTCCAGGAGAGGTGTACTCTGCAGTTACTGTTGACCTCCTCTGGGTCACCCCTGACCTCCATCCTGCACCAGCCAGGCAATAATCAGCAGGGTGGAGGGATTCAGAAGGGTTTGCGTGTCTGTTTCATGACGGGACACACACACAGACACAGATATTCACCTCCACCCTGCTGCTCGTCATTGTTAGTTCACTTTGGCAACGTCACTCAGGAAGGAGGCGCCGGGGGACTGTGTTTGTTTCAGCGAGGGTGTGTTTGTCGTGTGTGTGTGTGTGTGTATGTGTATGTTTTATGTGCATGTAGTCACACAGGACGAGTTCAGTAAAGGGGCTTTCCTGTGTTCCTATTACCCCAATACTCAGCTGAGGAGCGTGGGAAACAATGAGAGGCACACTAAAACCAGCACGGCCTTACAAATTAAAACATTGTCTTTAAAACAAACAGACCAAAATGATTATTCCACCGCATTTACACTAGTGCAAAGGGCTATTGTTAAAAACATGTTTGTTTATGAAGCTTTTTGTTCTTACGCCAGGTGGCTTGGACACAGTCACATGCAAGAAAGGGACTAAAAAATTCATTTTAAATCATTAAAAGCAGCAAATATTCAAATAAAATCCAGCAAACTAATTACAAAAAGCATGAAGACCTCTCAAAAGAAAACTTGGCTCCAGGGAAGCACAGAGAATTAGTTACTATACTTTTGCACATGAATCCAATTTTCTGGGCACCTCCTTCGCTAAAATGTCGACACCAATCAAACATACTTTTGCCTAAGAGGATTACCACGGAGGTTAGATGTAATTAAAATGTTGCCCTAAAACATTAATATAAAAGAGCCCTTAAACATCCATAAAGCAGTTTCTGATTTTTAATGGCTCTGCAACACTGACCTCTGCTGGTGAGGTTGAACAGAAGCAGCTTTTATATTGACTGAGTTGAGACTGCTCCGAACTGTGTTGGGCATCTTAAATTAAGTACACCGTAATTAGTAATAGTTACAGATTACTTTTTCAAAATGTAATTGAGTTAGTAACTCAGTTAACACCGTGTAAAATTATTGGTTACATATCAAAGTAACTGACATTATTGCTATGTTCCATAGTATCTAAAACATCACAAATATTTTTATAACTGAATGATTCTTGCTACCTAGAATGAATCTGAAACAGTCATTCAGTAAGAATGTTCTTCTGAATATCTGGAATGTTAATTTCCACTAGGAACAATAACATTATAGATATCTAGAACTTCATGGTTTTCAAGGATTCTGAGATTTCTTAAACTTAATTTCTACTCAGTTGTTTATGTTTATTTATTTGGCAGACGCTTTTATCCAAAGCTACTTACAATTTATAACCTATAGGGCATGTTGTGATCTGTGGGGGAAACCGGAGTACCCGGAGGAAACCCACGCATGCATGGGGAGAACACGCAACTCCACGCAGAAGTGCCACAGCCGAGTTTCGAACCTGCAACCTTCGTGCTGCGAGGCAACGGTGCTAACAACTGCACCACCATGCAGCATGCAGTTGTTATTATGGATATCCTTAATTATAATTTCTACTACTAACAACATAGCCAGGGGACCTGGGGATGGACTGTCCAATCTCGGGGGCAGAAGTTGCTGAGGTAGTCAAACAACTACACAGCGGCGGAGCCCCGGGGGCGGATGAGGTTCATCCTGGGTATCTTAAGGCTATGGATGTTGTAGGGCTGTCGTGGTTGACACGTCTCTGCAACATTGCGTGGTCATCGGGGGCAGTTCCTGTGGAGGGGCAGACCGGGGTGGTGGTCCCCATCTTTAAGAAGGGTGGCCTGAGGGTGTGTTCCAACTATAGGGGGATCACACTCCTCAGCCTCCCTGGAAAGGTCTACTCCAAGGTACTGGAGAGGAGGGTCCGATCGATAGTTGAGTCTCAGATTGAGGAGGAGCAATGTGGTTTTCGTCCTGGCCGTGGAACTGTGGACCAGCTCTATACCCTTGCAAGGGTGATGGAGGGGGCATGGGAGTTTGCCCAACCAATCCACATGTGTTTTGTGGATTTGGAGAAGGCTTATGACCGTGTCCCCAGGGGCACCCTGCGGGGGACGCTCCAGGAGTATGGGGTGGGTGGCTTTCTGTTAAGGGCCATTCAGTCCCTTTACCAGAGGAGCGTGAGTTTGGTCCACATAGCCGGTAGTAAGTCGGACCTGTCCCGGTGAGGGTTGGACTCCACCAGGGCTGTCCTTTGTCACCGGTTCTGTTCATTACATTTATGGACAGAATTTCTAGGCGCAGCCGTGGTGTGGAGTGTGTCGAGTTTGGTGGCAGGAGAATCTCGTCTCTGCTTTTTGCGGATGATGTGGTCCTCCTAGCTTCATCCAGCTCTGACCTTCAGCTCTTGCTGGGTAGGTTTGCGGCCGAGTGTGAAGCGGCTGGGATGAGGATCAGCACCTCCAAATCTGAGACCATGGTTCTCGACCGGAAAAGGGTGGCTTGCCAAACTCTGGGTTGGGGGAGAGGTCCTGCCTCAAGTGGAGGAGTTCAAGTATCTCGGGGTCTTGTTCACGAGTGAGGGTAGGAGGGATCGGGAGATCGACAGGCAGATTGGTTCAGCGTCTGCAGTGATGCGGACGCTGAGCCGATCTGTCGTGGTGAAGAGGGAGCTGAGCCAGAAAGCCAGGCTCTCGATTTACCGGTCGATCTACGTCCCAATCCTCACCTATGGTCATGAGCTTTGGGTAATAACCGAAAGAACGAGATCGCGGATACAAGCGGCCAAAATGAGTTTCCTCCATAGGGTGGCCGGGCTCAGCCTTAGAGATAGGGTGAGGAGCTCGGACATTCGGGAGGGACTCGGAGTAGAACCGCTGCTCCTCCGGATCGAAAGGAGCCAGTTGAGATGGTTTGGGCGTCTGGTAAGAATGCCTCCGGGACGCCTCCCCGGGGAGGTGTTTCGGGCATGTCCTGCCGGCAGGACACATTGGAGAGGTTACATCTCCAATCTAGTCCGGGAACGCCTTGGGGTCCTGCCGGACGAGCTGGTGGAGAAGGCCAGGGAGAGGACAGTCTGGAGCTCCCTAGTTGGGATGCTGCCCCCGCAACCTGGACCCGGATAAGCGGAGTAAGACGACGACAACTACTACTAACAACGTAGCTGTTGATGTCGTCATTTGCAATTTTGACTAATGAGAATACAATTAGTACTAAGGTAAATTAAATCATTGTTATTTAAAACATAGATTACCGAGAGGTAAAATTATTGATTAAATATAAAAATGGCTTGCCTTAGTACTGTCTCCCTGTGCGCCCTGTTTTCATTCGTTTCTTCACTTTTCTGAAGCACAGTTTGCTTGTTTAACTCCCCTTTTACATATTTGTTCCCACCAATATTTACAGGTTCCTTCATGTTAATGCAATAATTGTCCCAGTCATTTTGCGCACACCACCCCCTCCCTGCCTTCACAATGCGCGCGCACACAAACACACACACA